CCTAAATGCATACATACATGTATGCACAACCCTTCCCACACAAATATATATATTATATATGTACCTCACATATACAAATATGCATATGACTACATATATGCACATTATATATATATATATATATATATATATATTCTTACAAATATATATATATATTTATTTATACATTCAAATATTTCACAAAATTTCATACCGGCACATATCAAATTATCATGCTGTCACGTAATTATTAAATCAAATAATCACGTATTAAATACCTTGGGTAATAACCAAGATCTGGTTATCACATATACAAACCGATGTAATAAATTCACAAAATCGATAAAATACACAAATCGCACAAAATAAATTTACAAAAATAAAGGTTTGTGAAAATACTTGATATCTATATAAACCTTCTAAGAGATTTATTCATAACGGAGCATCGGTAACAGAGGGTTTCTCTCTCGTCTCATTAACAAGTGAACGTATTTTCCGGTTTATGGTTTTCTTCTTTAGTTTGAATGCAAAAATCAAAAGGGTTAATGTTCGTTGTTAACCGTATGGGTTGACCTAGTAAGGGACAAGCAGTGGCACGTGCCACCACTTCACTAACTCGACATAGTGAAAAAATTATAATTCATAAAGATTTTACTTTGATTTTCACATGTTGGTAAAAATTTCTTCTACGGTAATTTATTTTAGGGATTTTGATTTTTGATATTCTTATATCTTAGAAAAGACGCAACCAACAGAGTAGACATCCAACATGGTAGAGAATAATTTTTGTTCAGCCAGAATTTTAACAGCCTCGTAATTGCAAGTTGATTCTTACGCCATATTGTAAAAGAAAAAGTAACGCTTCTCAAAGTATTGTCAATCGTGATTTCTGGATCCTCTGGGTAGTTTCAGTCAATGTTGACTAGCTTGTGGCAAGCCTCTTTGACACTGATCGGTGTAACAGAAGGTTTGGATCTTGAGAAACAAAACAAAGCTGTCAACTTGAAACTCGATGTTATGCCGTTTCAATCGACCCTATGCTTCATTTCTTTAGAGCTTCATGAAGATTATCCTTAACTTGTTTCGGAATCGGGTCCATGAATCAACTTCATCCATGATTGAAACACTCGATGGAGCCATTCTTGTAATTATACGATGGTTAAATGCAAAACTATAGGTTTTTATCGATCTTTTTAAAATAAGCGTTCTATGAACATGATAATTTTATTAATGCAGCGTTTCTCTTTATGAGAAAAGAATTTAGTATCAGATTTATCTGTTTACGCTTATTGTACAATTTTGGTTAAACTAAGGGGCCGTTTACCAAACACTTACCCGGTAAGTGCTTACCGGTAAAATTTAACACTATTATTTACTTACCGGGTAAGATTTTAATCCACCAAAACGACATCATATGCAACAATTTACCCGGTAAGCGCTTACCGTGGTAAGAGTCGTCGCCCTCACTTACCTGGTAAAGGGTTGTTTGTTTACCTCTTAATAGTTCCATTAAGAGGCAACATCTGAATCATTAAGAGATGAATCTTGTTTGGCAAAAAAAAAAAATCTGTCTCTTAATGGTTCTAAAACCCTCTGAATGATTTTGTATCATGGATCTCCCTTAACCAATAAGAGCCATAATTTCATTGTACACAATTACCAAACAATTATATTTCATTTTGCATTATATCATGATAGTCTCTTAATCATTCTGACCACTTAATCATTCTGCATCAAACCATTCAGTAATTGCTAAACAGCCCTTAAGACTCTTAGTCTTTATCTCACTCTTACCGGGTAAGATTATTAGTCTTTACCATATTCATGCGGTGAGGTAATGTTACTTGGTAAGCACTTACCTGGATAAGCATTTGATAAACGACACCTAAACGTTGTCTATCGGTTGGAGTTTTATTTTTTATGAATAATTTTTTGTATTAAATTATATATCGAATCAAATATTATAAATATTTAGAAAGAATCAAATGATAGAAGTAAAAGGCAAAAAGATACCTTGTGGAAACTTGCTTGATTTTGGGCAATGGCCCATGATTTTATAAACCCGACCCGGCCCATATTGGTTGAGCAGGTGCCCTGTTGTAAAATCGTTATCCACACGAGAAACACCGCCATGTTAGGGTTTTCGTCGAGCTTAAGAAGAACGAAGTTTGAATCAGGATTTGATTTCAGTTGTTGAAGGCGTATACAATGACATCGTTGGGGACATCTAAAGGTGTATTGGAGATCGCGAAGTTCGCCGTGTACGTTACAGTTCCGATCGGTCTTATGTATTTCTTCGCCAATAACACTAAGAATCTTCAGAAATTCATGGGCACTGTAAGTATATCTTGAAAACTCTGGAATTTGATTTCTAAATGTTAATCCTTGTGTATTCTGATCACATTATTGATTTTGATTTCGTTATTGTGTTTGCGTCAATAGTATTCAGTCATGGTGCTTGCTATAGAAGTTTAATGTAGTTCGTAGTTTTTCTCGGAATCGAACTTCCAAAATCGTATCAATGTTGAAGATCAGAAGTGATCATTTCAATATTTGAAGTCAAAATTTAGCTATGTTGTTGGAGCAGAGGAGTTGACGTTAGCTTCTTTTCTGTTGCCTTTCTAGTAGAACTTGTTGATGATGTAGTTATATGCGATTGTATGCTTTATAGAATCGATAGAAGATAGAGATGCGCTGCTGCGAACACAATTAACTAGGGGTCTATCATGAACTAGTTGTAGACTGAAAAACGAATTCATGATAATGGACATGTACCCTTCCAAGAAAAATGACGACCAGTTTAACTTGCTGATTTTCACATTTGATGTTAAAAAAGAGCAGAACTTCCTTAAACTGAGTAGATCAAACTAAGAACACATGGTGGTGGAATGAGAAAGTGGATAGCTTACTGAGAGGAAAATAGAGTGCTGTAACTTGTTATTGATTGTGAGAGACTGGAGAAGAGAGATCATGTAGAAGAATAAACTGGCCAAAGAGAAACTACTAAAGCAATTACAAAAGCTAGATGTAGAACATACAAGGCTTAGATAAAGTAGGAGGCTATGAGCGAAGAACACGCTAACTCACAAGCAAAAGTATATGTGGGTCTTGAGCTAAGACTTGTAAATCTTGACAAGGATATCTTCCAGTTGATTAACAAATTGGAAAAGTAAATTAGGGACCTAAAGCATATCAAGTATGGGTGAGAACCAAGAATTATCAGTACGATATTTTGAGGTTAAACAGAAGTGGATGTAGTTGAATTTGATGATTATTTTTTATATTAGGTTTATTAGTTTATACATACAATTCGTGAGTTAGAGGTCAAAAATCTATAAGAATGACAAAACTAGTCAACATTGGGTTGGGGCAGGATAGTATTCGTACTTAGAATTTGGATTTTGGAGTTGCCTTTGGGATGTGGCATAGTTGAGCTATGCTGTTTAATGTTCTTAAATCGAGAAAGTGTTTACACGACCTGCTGACAATCTATAAGAATAGTAATACATTAAAAAAACGTATTATTATCTTAGTATCAAGCTAAGCGTATTGTTTGACACATATGAGTCTGTGACTTTGGTAAATTTGCAAGAATAAGCAAATAGCTACATGATGAAAACTGTTCTGTTTGGCAAGAAGTTGAACTGCATTGTTTGATAGAGATAAAAAGATCGTTAATTGAATGTCGCAAATGCCTAAATGGCTCAAGAGGAAGGCAAGTTGCCTTTCCCACATAACTACATTGAAAAGCGACTGCAAATTGATGATTATGTTGTTATCCCCTGGGTAGTGTTAGTAAAACACAGTAGGCTGGGTACAAGTTCTATTGTAGTATTACGAGTAGGTGAAGTAAAAATAGAAATTCGGTTGGTAGTAATACTATTACTCCAATACAAGTTAGGGGCTGAAAGGAGGGAAGGATATTAATTAGTCTGTTTTGAAGTATTTTTGGCGCAAGTATTTGGAGAGATATTATTAGCCTTACGAAAACTGATAACATCAACTGTATTCATTCAATTGAACCTATGCTGTTAATTGCGGTGCAATAGCGGTTATTGGTCCTGAACAAAATAGAGGTGGTAAGTTGCGGTTCCGAGAATAGTGGCGCAATTTATCGCTATTTCACCGATATTTGATGTAAAATAGCGGTCCACAATAGCGATATTCTCAGTTGGGATTTTTTGAATCTGATGCTTACATTTTTGTCATTTTTTGGGTATTTATTTTGACTTGGGCTCATATTTTATTTCAATCTGATGCTTACATTTAAGTTATGCATGCATACATATATATATATATATATATTATATAATTCTAAGAATTATTACATGAACCGCTTTTTTTGGACCGCTATACCACAGCGATAACTTCAATTTCAAATCTCAGTCCTGACCGCTATTTTGTATTTTGACTGCTGTAACAACATAGGATTGTAGAATTGAACTGCTATTTATCTAGGGTACATCATGTGTATTGAAGATTAACCGATCCTTCAAACCCTTGCAAAACCCCCCAAATTTGCAACAAACTCAGTCATCGACTCATAGCATCATGAATTGATAACCTCATATGATTGATGAGCTTTTTAACATGCCAAAGAGAGATTGAAAGCCCAAAGTAAAGATAAATGCCAAACTGCCTTAAATCAGTGATGAGGTTAGAGAGTGAGTGAAAATATTTGAGCTGATTTCCAAACCATAAATGACAGAAAGTTTGGCATCCTTTCCATGATAGGGTTGCATGAAGCCATGTACTGTTGATTGAGAATAGAAACATAACACCATAACACTGCTAGACGAGAAACAGGAACAGATAATTGGACCTTAAGCCTATCTAAATGAACAGAAACGAGACTATGAATTCAATAATCTACCTATTGCTGTGCAAATTGCAGACACATTTGAAACCATCACAAACTGATGCATAGGGTTGACCCAAACTGATGCATAGGGTTGACTCAAACTGATGCATAGGCTTTTGACTAAGGAGGTTTTGGTCATCGATGAACGTGTCGTCATGAACATTGGTGATGGCTTGTTAAATAACCGCAAAAGCAAGAAACATTTAACAGAATAGCCACAAAATAGAAACAGAACTTGAGAAATAATAAGCAAGCAGTAGCATGTGTAAAATAACTAGAAAGAAGAAGAATAGTAGCAGTACAGAGGGTGGAAGAACAAAGAACAGACAAGCTACCAGATGCACAAAAATGAGATAAGTAGAAGAATAACATATACAATAATATGAAGAGAGAACAAAGATGGAAAGTTAAAGAGAAGAAGAGTGTTGAAAGAAATCTTTTAGTATTATGTTTCTTGCCTTTTTCTACCATACCTGGATTATTATAGTGGTTTGTTATGATTATTATAGGTGGAGTTTGAGATAAAAAAAAAAAAAGAATTGTTACATGGTTTTTGGTTGTTGAATATTAAATATGTGTTTTTCTCAAACTTCATGGTACCAAAAACATATGACTTGAGAAATTTTTTATGTTTGATCTATGAAATGATTGAGTAGTAATTAAATTTGTTTTGAAGCGTGAATACATCGTGTACCCTCCGGAGGGACCAAGGCCCCAATCACCGGAGGAACTAAGAGAAATGGCTCGGGAGATAGCTCGCAAGCGAGGTACACAATCATGAGCCCATGGGGTGGGATTTTATAAACTATTGGAACCATAATCCAGTTGGTGGTGTTATATGTTTTCTATCATGAAAATGCTTTCTATGAAATTGTAATAAAAATGCATCCAGAAACCTTCTTGTAGTTCTCTTATTATAAATAATATAGTTGTAAATGATCACATCTTGCATACACACACATATGTAGGGGTGGGGTGGGTTCAAACGAAAAGTCATTTAGATGTCATAATTGAAATTGGAACAAGAGGTATATCTCTACCCATCTTTGAAAGGATAGGAAACCTTTCGCCTTCCACCATTTTAAATATCAAAATCATTGGTATAATCCGCGATTGATTCACGAAGGGGCCGTTTACCAAACGCTTATCCAGGTAAGTACTTACCAAGTTACATTAACTTACCGGATGAATATGGTAAAGATCAAGAATCTTATCTGGTAAGAGCAAGGCAAGGACCAAGAGTCTTACCCGGTAAGTGAGGACGAGAACTCTTATTACGGTTAGCGCTTACCGGGTAAATTGTTGCATACGATGCTGTTTTTGTTGACTAAAATCTTACCCGGTAAGTAAGTGATATTGTTGAATTTTACTGGTCAACGTTTACCGGGTAAGTGTTTGGTAAACAGCCCATAAGATGCTTTACATGGATAGTCGACATGCATTTGATTCATTTGATCCAATATGTTGGCAAACAAATTATAAAATTCATGGTATCTAGATCACCCCAATACTTGTTAAACTTTCTGTTAAGTGTTCATAAATCAAAAATGAAAAGCTATTCAACAACCATAAAAAGTAAATATATATTACAACAAAAGTGAATAAAATGAAAATAGTTAAATAGATATACCCTTCCAATAGCAGACTTGAAGTGGCATAAAGAGAGCTAGAAATTATAGTTGTCTTAATAAATATTACAAAGCTCTGTGCAAATAACAAATCAAGATTGAACCACCCAAATCAGTAGACATTGAGGTGTCACTACTATTGTAGTATCGTATGATTCAAAAACTTGTTTATAAGCTACTATGATCTTCTAAACATCATGTAGGTGGAGCTTCATCTAGTTGGAACATCAACTCATAAATAACCTTTCTCTCCCACCTCAATCAACTCTCCAAGTTCTCAAAAAAAAAAAAATCAACCTTGATGGGAAACTCCTTACTCACCTAATACAATCCATAATTCTCATAACCGATGAATCTGCTAATTTTAAACCATCCTGGACAACCAAATTCAAATAATAAGCTCTACAGAAGAACAACCCCAAGACACCAATTTGTTCTTCAAGAACTCAACAACAACATCATTGTTTGAGGCATTATCAGCTTTTGATAGTCAATACTTCTTTTATTCCCCAATCAAGTAAACAACACTCTAAGTATTTATTATTCTCCATTTATCATCAATAAAATGTGTAGTGATGCACATATAATTAATTATTTGAACAGATATACAAGTTTCGGTAATTAAATTTTATTTGTTACATGTTTGACTTAAATAATTTTTTTTAATATTCATCATCTCTTAAAAGTGTGTGTGTGTATATATATATATATAGGGTTGGGTTCACGTGAGACCAGCCTGTTCTCGTGAGACCATATTTTTACACTTGAAACTTTACAACAAAAGATTGTGAAGGAAAAAAAAATCCGAACCTTCACAGCAAAAATCTCATTTGTCCCAATATATTCACATAAGGGGAATGTATATTGGGGAATAACAAAAGTATTTACTATCATCTATATCTATACTATCTTATGAAGCAAATTTACCAAAAGTTTTAAAGTCTTAAAATACTAAATGACCAAGATACCTTTATCTATGTTACCCTTAAGTCACTTTTTCACCCCCTCCTCTCTTCACATATACTCATCCTCTCATCGATTTTTTTTTAAATTATAATTTTATATTTACACTTTATATCTCTATAATTAGTTAATTAATTTAATTTGCGTCCTATACTTTTAAAAGTTTCATTTTAAACCTTTATCAAATTAACATACATAATCGTATATCAATTAAAACATGTTTAAAAAATACATTTTTATTTTAATAAGTTACATCATTATAATCGTCTCGTTAATACCTTCGAAATGAGTTTAATATTGAATAGTTTATGACTTAATTATATTATTATATATTATATATACTGTGAAAAAATATTTTTAATATTTACGATTTATACTTTTATAGTTATTTATTTATATATATACTATATATTTTAGGGTTAGGCTGTCCAAATTGCACTGTATAATATGTTCTGAATTAATATGTTCTTGGGTTTTTTTGAAATATATATATACATGTATTAGTTCAATCTTAATCTGAGTTTCTGGACAAGAAAGAGGGTAAGCAGTTGAAATTTCATTCTAAAACCCATCTTTTTTGGTCTTTTCATGGCTTATGATCTGTCAAATTTGTAGTTTTCTTTATTGGTTTTGAGTGTTTATCTTAAAACTCAAGTTTCTTGGTTCTTTGCTCTTGGTGTAAATCGAACATATTTGTGGAGTCGTTTAAATATGTTGAATTTTAAATATATTGGATTTTAAACTGTCATACAATTTTTTTCATCGATAATCTGTAAGTGAAACCATAACTCTTATTTATTTAAATTGTATTAATATGTAAAGACCAAGTGTAACATATATCATCGTTAAATCKTRTCTTATAAAACCAGTGGAACTTCAAAATCGTTAAAATTTATGGCTCCCGCCACATTGCTCGAGTACACAACTAATAGTTGATAATGCCTCAAGCAATGATGATGTTGTTGTTAGGTTCTTGAAAAACAAATGGGTGTCTTAGGGTTGTTCTTTTGTTCGGGCTAAGTACATGCATATGAGATGCATTGCTCATTTTTTGGATTTGGTTGTCCAATATGGTTTAAAATTAGCATATTCATCTCTTAAAAGGGTTAGGGATTGTAGGTGGATGAGGAGTTCTCCATCTAGGTTGAATACATTTAGAGAACTTGCAGGGTTGATTGAGGTGGAAGAGAAAAATTATTTATGTCTTGTTGTTCCAACCAGAGGGAACTCTATCTATATGATGTTTCGAACTGCAGTAGCTTACAAACAAGTTTTTGAATCGTACGATAGTAGTGACACCTCGATGTTTACTGATTTGGGTGGTTTGATGCCTTCCTATCTTGATTGGAATCTACAGAAATTAGATTGAGTACATGCAACTGCAACTGAATTAGATGCATAGTGACGATCCAGATAAAACATGTTTTGAGAAGGTAAATTCTAATAGAAATGTGTTATTCGTAGAGTATGTGGTAACATAGTCTGAATCTTCTACTACCATGATGCCTCATCCTTCACCTGTTCAATGTGATAATTTCTCTATCGGTAGAGCACAATCTAGAAAAAAAAACCAGCTAAAGAAGCAAAAGTGAACTTGAGAATCAGTTGTACATGATACCATTGAGTTTGATATATTAAGATGGTGGAAGGTGAATAGTGAAAGGTTTCTATCCCTTCAAAGGCGGCTAGAAATATATTGCTCTAATTTCAACTAGTGTTTGACACCATGCGTGGCATGGTGACAGTAATCCTTTTTAAAATTATTGAAGTTAGCTAAATGAGTCGATGATCACATTTATATATTAAACTAATAAGAATCAATATTATCTTTGATATATGAATCTACCTTATCATTATTGGTTGTTCTTCTTTTAATATATATATATATATATATATAATTTAAATTACAAAAATGAAATCTTTTAACGATTAATGCGGTTGAAAATATTTTAAAAATAAATAGAATTTGAAAAAAAAGTTTCAACAATTGTATGTTGAAAACATTTTAATGTAAAATAAGAATGAGAAAATAAAAGATGAATATGAAAAATGGTTTTTCATTAAACTTGGTTTCTCAATATTCCATGAGGAATAGTTGTTGTCAACCAAACTCTAAAACAATTGTTAAAAACATATTGTTGGTTCTATTGAGAAAAAAAAAAAACTTAAGAAAAATATAGAAGACATTAGTTAAAGAAAACCTCTAAAATTCTAACAAAATTAAGAAGAATTCCATACTCAGATTAATCGTCTCGAAATAAACCTGAAAAAAATATAACCATTAAAAAGGGCATGTTGAAGTTTGGTGATGCTACATGAAAAATTGTAACATAAAAACTTAAAAAATATCAATAAAAGTCAAAAGGAATACATACACACATTAGTTTTCTCAAAGTATACTTGAAAAAGATAACCATTACAAAAATATGTTGAAATTTGTTGAGACTACTTCATGGTTTGTAATACTTTCAAGATTCTATCATCAGACGATTAATCGAACCATTGTTGCTATGAAAACTCTAAAAGTGTTGTCAAAAACAAACTCTCCGTTTCATTGAGAAAACTTAGGAAAATCATAGAAGGGAAAAGTAAAAAAAAAAACAAAATTCTAAAATCCCAACAAAAATAAAAAGGAACGCATACCTGAATTGGTCTTCTCGAAATAATCTTGAAAATAGATTTGTTGAAAAGTAACAATTTATGAAATGAAAAACAAATCAATCTCGAAATAAACTTGAAAATAGATTTGTTGAAAAGTAACAATTTATGAAATGAAAAACAAATCAAGTGATGGAGATGAAGAAAAATGAAATGAAAAACAAATCAAGTGATGGAGATGGAGAAAAAGAGATTAAATGATGAAAAATTTATGAAGAAGAGTTAGGGAAAATGAAAAGATTGTGTTAAATGCAAACATAAATGAATAATCAATGTTTATAAAAATTAGAATGTGAAACTAAAAAAAAGATTAAAGGAGGATGAATGAAAAAAAAAAGATAAATAAGTTTTCAACCATTAGGAGAAGCCAAGTCATCAACCTTGGTTTCTCCTTTAATATATATATATTTCAATTGTGACATCTAAATCGACATTTAGTACTAGTGGTAAAGTCTAGAATAGTAGAAGTCCTTGTATGTACACAAGATCGGCCAAGAGGGAAATTTAAAGTTTGAGAAAGGTACGTTATTGATTAGTTGAATTTGCTTATTTATATGTTTTTAAATGTGTAGAAATGACAAATATAAGAAGTGGAACCGTGAGAATTCTCTTTCAACAGTTGATGTTAATGTAATATGTTACACATAATTAATTAATTCATAAGTACATCGATGATTTCTTGCATCATTAGGTAATTTTACTTATGAATTATGATATGGTAATTGATAAATTTGGTTTTTTCAAAAATAAGAACAAGAACAACGGAATTGAAGATGATATTCGCTATTTGGACTTTGGAGAATGAAATTCATGAACGAAGAATTGAATATGCTGTCGACTATCCATATAATTGAATTTAGTAGTTTCAAATTTGTTAGTGAGAACGCTTTTGGAGTTGAGTTTTGGGTTTATCTGGTATTTCCGTGTTTAACTGGTTTGTACCTTGTCACTTTGGTTTTGCATTTTGAAAACATATTTGGTTTGTAGTTTGGTTATGCATTTTGCTGCTACACAAGAGTCACGAAAGCTGAAAAAGAAAATTAAATAAATAAACCCACTTAAAACCTGACACAGCCCAAACCCGCGGGTTTCTAACAGAGGGTATAAGCTACCTCCAGACTCTGATTGGGTTCTAGTTTGGCCATCTGATCCGACCGATGCTTAGGCCTAAATGCCAGAAATTGGTGAAAGTGATGTTTAAGTATTTCCTAACAGATTCGTCAAAATTTGTTCCTAAGACTAACAAAAATCTAACGATTGTCGAACATGTGGAACATATACATATTTCTCGAATTGAAAGTAGATTGGAGGGTCATTGAACACATCAAACTTATACATCCTTTTTTTAAATTTAAGGTAGACCTCCTAACACATGCATGAGTACAAAATATATTGAAATTTAAAATACATCGAATAAAGATTGAACTTATCGAACACCTCGAGTGAGTACAAGTATATATTTTTTAACAGTTAAAGTACATCAAGTAGTGATCGAACTGTTATTATACATATCAAACTTGTACAAGTATATATTTCTTGAAATTTAGATTACTTAAATTAGAGATTTAATGGTTATCAAACACATCGAGTGAATACTGGTATATCTTTTCTTGAAATTAAAGTACATCGACGAACTATTGAGTGTTATTAACCACATCGAGCTTCTACAAATGCATAAAAAAGGATCTGTAAGAAAACCTTAGATGTTCCCCGTGATACACAAAGATCTTTATTATTTCATTGGATACAAACTTATGGAAATAGTGCTATTTGAGTGGGAGGAATTATTTGTGTCCATGGAATTGAGTTGTGCATTTTGTATCGGTTCAAGCGAGTTTTATTTATACAGTCGAAAAAAGACAACAAAGGAGGAATTGGGCAATGTGTAGGACGACATGCAACATAGCAAAAAGGTCAGCATCGTCTTTCTACATGATCTATAAGGAAACATGATGATGCAAACATTGAGTTCCTCATCAAATAGTCATTGGCCTAGCGGTTCCCAGTAGAATCCATCATATCAAGAGGTCAAGGGTTTAAACCATTGCAAAAGTGAGGAGCGTGCGTGAATATTTATCATGAATAAATGTTATATACTTAAAAAACAGCGAAGGGTCGTTTACCAAACGCTTGCTCGGATAAACATTTACCAAAGTCACATCACCTTACTAGATGCATATGACAAGAACAAAGAATCTTACCCAGTAAAATCGAAGGCAAGGACCAAGAGCCGGTAAGTGAGGGTGACGACTCTTACCATGATTAGCGCTTATCGGGTAAATTGTTGCATACGGTATCGTTTTGGTGGACTAAAATTTTACCTGATAGGTAAGTGATAATGTTAAATTTTGCTGATAAACACTTACCCAGGTAAGCGTTTAATAAACGGCCCATGAGTTTCATGTCGTGCATTAGAGGAATAAAGGATTGAGGAAATATCCATTTTTAATCCAACTCATGTCTTATCTTGATGAATGTTGTAATCTATAAGTTAACATGTATTGACTAGAATGGGGGAATGAATGTTATATACGAAGGTTAAAAATACTGGTTTTGAATGTCGTAATCAATGAAAGTAGGTTTAATGGGGAAAATGTTTACATAACAGTTATTGAGAACCTATCGAGGCAATATCAAGATTATTGTGCTACGAGAGATAAGGGTTAAGGAAGAAATGAAATTTAGAAAAAAACCATTCAGATAAATATAGACAAAATCAATTATTATATTGTATTCTTAAGTTTAAGTTCATATTTTTCATGTTTTCTCTTATTCTTGATGATCATATTTCCTAATCTTAAGTCATCCGCTAAAGTTAATAAACTTCATCTATGATATTTTAAACTAGTTTTGTATATATATGCAATACCATATACTGAAAATCAAAATAAAATTTTGATGTAATTCTCCATTAAATAAACAAAATTCATGAAACATTATGCCGTTTGGTAGTATGACTCGACTTTTATTTTATATTTGAATATATTTATCAGTCGGTTTTATGTATTTTAAATATAAAGTTTTAAAAAGTTATAAGGAAATATAGTTTGTTTTTGAAAAGTTTAAGGTTTATTTTTTTTAAATTTTAGGAAAAAAATAGAAATTAAACGAAACTGATTGTAATCGTTTGCAAATTAATAAAGAAGCCTTTTTTTACGTGGGAAAGATGATGATTGTATTCATGCGAACGAGACCAAAATTGTTAATTTCATGAGAAATTTCGTGGGAAGACGACTCGTAATTATGCCAACATCAACGACTATGAGGATTTTACCGACAGTTATTGACCTGGAAGTAAACTCGGTCGTTCTTCTTCTTTGGTCCTCATATTTAATGTTAATGTTTCGTCAGGTATTTTCACTATCAACGTTTCAGGACCTATTTTTCAGTTCTTTACAGGTAATTCTCCAAAACCTATGTCTTTGATTTGCTCTTCTGATTTCTTGTTTGTGATTAAGTCAAGGAATTGCATTTGGGTGGTGTTTTTAATCAAGTTCTTGCCAAGATTGTGGCAAAATTCTACTAATTAGCTTCATGCCCACCAAGTGTTTGATGATAAGCTTACTCGGTTGGACGTTATACTTTTGTGCTCATTTTGATCGTAATCTGCTTGTCTTTGCTAGTTTATAGATGTCGCTGATGAATTCCTTTGTTCTGAGATATATTTGGCTTGGTTTTTCATGGAATAAACTTGTAAACTACAATTAGTCCCATAGACGTCGACAAGTGAGCAGAAGTGGCATCTGGTTTCAAATCTTCTAAATCTTTACTCACCATCATTTCTCAATATGTTTTACTTGCTTTGAAGATCAAAGCAATTATGGAATAAACTCCAAGCTTTGAAAATAAAACAATTTTTTTAGGAATTGATTGCTGAAATCTATTGGAACCCTTGTCCCATACCGATTTTCATCTTAAAATACAAAAGAAATAATAAATTGTTAGACTTCTTTGAGGCGTGCTTGCCACTTTGCCTGCATGTAAAACTGGTTTATTGATGGAACTTCTTCATTGAATAGCTACATATATGTTTATTAGATGGGTCAAACTAAAAAAGTGAAAGCTTGAAACTGTAGGCCTAAAAAAAGACAAATGTCTGTTTATGTAACAATAACATAGGCCTTTTTTTGACCTCCAGCAGCACCATCACCACCATACTGACACCCTCAAATGATCACCCATAACCACCACCACCCACCGGATCAACACACATATTTGTTTGGAGTTTTACTTACACCCTTTTACATAAGTGATAATATTTCATGATCATAGAGGTGTATCAACGTTATTTTGGGTTTGTTTACCTTAGCAGCTGTCTAATTTTTACATCAACTAATTGTAATATATTTCTTGATTCTTGGACCTTTGAAATTATCTTCTTATCAATTCAAATTGAATTAGGTGGTGGTCACAGGTTAATGCTAGCAATTCTTGGCAAGAAAAGAAGTTGGTGAATGAACTTGGAAGATTGTGCGTTATAGTTGCTCACTTCTGATATCAAAATCATAGGCAATTAGTATTTTTAGTCTTTTTGGTTCTTTTTGCCATAGCGAATATGGCAGATCTCCTACCACTTGGTACCATTTTGGCTGTAGCTATTAACCAGGTCATCAAAACGGCTCATGCTGCCAAAGATATAGTTATAGAAAAGGAGAGTTTCAGGATCCTCTCGGCTCACCTATTTGATATTGCGCGTGTCCTAAAGGAGCTGGAGCTAGGAAAATTGAACGAATCACCAATTGCAGGAAAAGCTTTGGAGAATCTTGACACAGATGTGAAAAGGGCCAATGCCCTTGTGGAGAAGTACAAGAATTGCGGCCGCTTCTACTTGCTGATAAAGTGCAGGCACATTGTCAAGGAGGTACAAGATATAACAAGAGATATTGGGAAGTCGCTAAATACTTTATGCCTGGCAAACACCGAGGTCCTATCTGGGATATCCGATCAAGTAATCAGGTTACAAAGCGAGATGCAAAGAGCCGAATTTGTAACCAGTCAATCTAAACTCCAAATCCTCGATAAATTGGATCAAGGGCTTACGAATCAAAAACTTGATCAGGGCTTTGCCAATGATATCATCAAGGATATAGCGAAGGCGGTTGGCGTGACTGTTGAACCCTCTGAGATAAGGAAAGAACTAGATAGCTTCAAGAGAGAGAAAGAAGAAGCGCAAAACCGAAAAGAGAGAGCCGAGGTTTTTTTCTTGGAGCAGATCATTAAGTTGTTGTCCCGAGCAGATGCAGCTAGGGACTATGAACACATAAAAGATCAGTATATGCAAAGGCTACGGGCGATTGAATGTTATGATTCAAGAGAAGAATCTATTCCACCTTATAAGGCTTTCATTTGTGGCATTACTAAAACCGTAATGGTGGATCCTGTTAGCCTCTCCAATGGTACTGCATACTCGAGGGTGGCTATTGAAGAATGGTTCGAGTCTGGAGAAAAAACGGATCCTGTCACGGGTGAATCACTTGAAGATTTATCTTTCAGATCAAATATTCAATTGAGAGAGTCGATTGAAGAATGGAAAGAGCTCAACTACTGCATGAGAATTAGATCCTGCAAGCCAAAATTGCTGTCTGAAAAAGATTCATCTGTGAAAGATGCCCTTTTCCAAATCCAGGAGCTTATAACAGAGGATTCAATCAATAAAGATTGGATTTCCATTGGCGGTCTCACTGAATTGCTCATTAGCGTACTCCCAAACTTGGATAACCAACAACTCAAAACAGAAGTATTAGTTACATTAAAGAATGCCGTTGAAGGACATGCAAGAAACAAGGTTAGAGAATGCTCTTTCTTATTGGGAAATTTTGTTAAATGACCTTCTGACAGGTTTGAGGATGACACTGCTAGCCTAGAAACAGTCAAAAAGTCATAGATTAATGTGTGGAGGCCATTTAGCCAAATAACCCCTTTCTTCTTATTATATATATATATATAGGTGGAGGTTCAAACGAGAACCCATGTGATTTACGAGAACGTAAGAACAACCCAATAACCTCAAACTTTTTTAATTAATAAATTAACTTTTATTATATATAAATAATTTAATAAGGACAATAATGTAATTAAGTAATTTTTATAATTTTTATTTTATTTTAATTAACCATAATTATCTTTTCACGTTCCATGTTTTTCTCTTGGTAGTTATCTTCTTCTCCTTCGTTCATGATAATCTCCATGGCTTAACATCTTTTCTTCATATCACACCTCTATCACATAAGTATCACACTCATATCATATGATTATCACACTCATATTTTATGATTACACCAAAATTTTAACTTATCAATCAAAACGATAACCCAAGTGATGTATAACAGTGATTATCACACCCTTATCACATGATTATCACACCCAAATCACATGATGACACCAAAATTTTAACTTATCAACCAAAACGTTAACCCAAGTGATGTATAACGGTGATTATCACACCCCTATCACATGATTACACCAAAATTTTAACTTATCAACCAAAACGATAACCCAAATGATGTATAATGGTGATTATCACACCCCTATCACATGATTATCACACCCATATCACATGATTATCACACCTAGTACAATCCTAACCTATTTCGTAACCGTTTAAAAAATTTGATAAGACTAATGATAATAATGATCGTGTTTAAAAGATTTGATGTTCCATTATTACCCTTTTAATTTTAATTTTTTTTAAATCTTTTTAAATTTTAATTTTAATTTAAAAAATCTTTTAATTTTATTTTTTATCACAATATGAGGTTATTGGGTTGTTCTTGTGTTCTCGTAAATCATAGGGGTTCTCGTTTGAACCCTTCCCTATATATATATATATGTTCATGTTCTTGACCTTATGTTTTGATCTCATCTTATAGGATCTCTTGCTCGAGAACGAGGGGTTTTGTCACATTGTTCCATGCTTAGGGTGTGAATCCAGTCTATCTAAAGCTGCTTTAGACTTGATACTTGAACTAGTGATCGAGGAATCTGGCCATCATATGGATTATACCAGGGAACTCTCGCAGCAATGTAATCCGGTTTCCTTTCTTATTACCATCCTAAAGGGTTCAGAGGTGACTTTAGCTGAGAAAGCACAAGAAATCTTGCAGAAACTCGTAGATGTTGATCAAGAAAATGTTATTAGGGCCGCCAAAGAGGAATGGTATGGACCTCTTGTCCATCGGATAATTCAAGGTTGGAAAACTTTTTCTCTTTCATTTTATCGTTTACATAGACCGGACTGGATTGGACTGGATTCAACTGGACTGCGCATAATTGGACTGGCTGAGTGAGGGGTGAAAAAATTGTGGAAGCATCTGGGTTTTAATTTGACGTGTGTAGTTTAGTAACTTACTAATCTTGTCCATCTCCCCAATTTTTGTTCCACCTATTTTGGTGAGACAAAAAACCTAATTTTTGTCCCATTTAGGCATGTCATGTCTAAGTCTGATGTCGCGCAAGCCTTGGGATAACAAGTTTTTGTTCTATCATGTCCCGCGTACCAAACACACCTGTATTGTTAAAACGAGTTCCCCGTGGATGACGTTAGTGTACTATTTAACAGGGACTACTGTGGGAGGATGGGCTTTTGATCATTTATGTATGTTATCATTCTTCCGCAAAGAAGTATAGGAATCGCTTTATCTTTCACTTCTTTTCTGCATCCAACCTCACTAATAATTGATTTGATTGTTACTGAAGGTTCAAAATCGACAAAAATGGCGATGGTGAGAGGGATTGTTAATTTGGAGCTTGAAGAAAATAACACAAAGTTCTTAGGTGAACAAGGGCTGATTCCACCATTGCTTGAAATGGTATCTTCTGATCTTGAAGCGAAGGAATTGTCGCTATCTATGCTCATAAAGCTTTTAGGAAGTCGGGAGAACAAACCGCTTTTCGCAGCCGCTGGTGCAGTTCCTCTTATGGTGGATCTCATGTGTTCTTCCCCTTTACACATCATCATTCTCGCTAAATGCTCGGAAATCCTCGATAAACTTGGTTCCAATGGCGATGGGATCAAGTTTCTTGTCGACATGAATGGAGTCCAACTCGATCTAAACTCTTTAGTCGAGAACCTGCTGGCTTTTCTACGAAATTCCCGTTTACCTTACAATGTATTGAGGCCTGTTTTACGGGCACTTTTTAAAATTTGTGAATCTGATGGCGGGCTCGTGAAGACCGCGGTTCTTACCGCTAGCGGTGTGTCTTTAGTCCTAACTCTTCTTGATCATCCCGATAGTGAAACACGTGAAGCCGCCATCAACCTCCTGTTCTTGTTCTCGAATCATGAACCACAGGGAGTTGCGGAGTTCCTTCTGAAACCGAGAAGATTAGAGGCTTTTGTTGGTCTTCTTGAAAACTCTAACAAAAGTGATGTACAGAAGGCTGCAGTTGGTTTATTAGCAAATGTTCCGAAATCGGAAGTTATTCTCACGAGAAAACTAGTCGAGTTAGAAGGGCTTAAAGCCATCATCGAGATATTGGAATCTGGGAACATGGAAGCTAAAGAAAACGCTTTGAGTGCTCTTTTTCGGTTCACTGATCCAACCAATTTCGAAGCTCAGAAAATGGTGGTTGAACTCGGGACCTATGATTTGCTTGTGGAGTTCCTCAAGAATGGTTCAGTGACAGCAAAGGCACGAGCGGCTGCTCTCATCGGCGATCTCTCGATGCGGAGCTCTGAGCTCACCAAGGCGCCAACCACCCGTCGGTGGTGCTCGTGTTTCGGCGGCACCCGCGTCGCTATTTGCGCAGCTCATGGCGGTTTATGCACCGTGAACGATACGTTTTGCCTTTTGGAGGCGAAGGCATTACCTGAGTTAGTCAAACTCTTACAATCGGAGGTGCATGCCACAACCTATGAAGTGATTCAGACACTTTCAACTCTGGTACAAAAGGAGTCCCCGCGCCGCGGGGCCCACGTTTTAGACGAGAGCGGGGCCGTGGTTCCTATATTAAAGGTTTTGAATTGGGGTTCCGAGTCTTTAAAGGTGGAAGCTTTAGAAGTGTTGGAGAAAGTGTTTATGGTGACGGAAATGGTTGACACTTATGGGTTAACGGCTCGGATACCGCTTGTTCGGTTAACCGGAGGCAGCATTCACGAAGACGGGCATCTTCAGAGGAAGGCGGTTAAAGTATTGTTGCTCATTGAACGTCATTCACGTCGTTCGAATTCACTTGTAACTGGAATGAGTGGGTAAAGATTCCGCTTAGATGTATGATCTTGACGGAAACAGTAGTACTGATCTTTACGTACATCCGATCCTCTGACCCCACCACCGGGTGGGATATACAGTGTTTGGTTTGGCTTATTTGTTAATGTTCTTGTAGGATGAGATGCCATGGGCACCGACTATAAGTTCATCCGTTGTCGTTTTAGTGGTAATGGTAATCTGAACTCTAAAGCGAGGGGTTTTCACGTAAATAGTTGCTCCACCTTTCAAGGTAAAGAATTACATAGATAGGATACATGTGGTACTTGTTTTCATTTGGGTGGGAGAAAAGTCTATGTATACGATTATAATCTTTTCTTAATTGAAGTTAATATATTCCTTACTTTGTTTTAAAATAAGTGTTTATATTTCTATTTGTGTTTATCTAAAAATTAGTGTCTATATTTCTATTTGTGTTTATCTAAAAATTAGTGTATACGTAGATGACTAAATTTACAAATCTGCTTTTAACACATACGTTTAAGAGTTAATAAGGTAGACACATTAATTAAGATAAAGTCATCATTTGATTAAATAAAAGATTTAGGTGGCGTTTGGTTCGCAGAATGTTTTTGGATGTAATGAAATCTGTCAAAGGAATTTGACTTTGAAGGAATTGGAATGGAATGTTGTCAGGTTTGACCACCTGTTTGGTTGACAGAATTGGAATGAAATCTATTAAAGGAATTGGAATCTGTCTGTTTGGTTCACAGAATGTAGTTTTGGAATTGGAATGAAATTCTGGTAAATGACTAAAATACCCTTTTTTGAAAAATTAATTTTTTTTTAAACTTAAAAATATTTTAATATAATAATTATTAATTACTTTAAATTTTTTTTAACTAAAAATAATAATTAAATATTCTAGTGCGTAAAACAATATAAAAATACACAACTCAAATATAACCATAAATCAAATGACGTTACTTAATATTAAAATTGCTTCAAAATCCATCAAACTTGTTCAAAATAATTATATGCCACCATCTTCAAACAATCAAACATATGACGCCAAAATACCAAAGCATGTTTAAATACATGTTCCAAAAGCCATTAAACATCATAGTTTTAAAAAAGAGCTAAACCAACAAGCACAATCATTCTTGCAAAATGTACCTCACAAACTCTTCTCGAGCTTCTCCTTCATAGTTCCAAAAGCTTAACACGGATTTTGGTTCACGTGTTATTTTTCTCAGTGCTTTAAATTCATCATTTACCATATTCACCAATGCATCAACAAGTTTTCCATCTTCGATTTTTGACCAATTACGATACTTTCGCCCATTGATTTTATCCGCCATACCTAATAACGATAAAGATGTAATTATACCATTAAAATTAATAACGATAAATATAAAATTGTACCTAACATATTTTAGTTTTACATTGAATGATAAAGCAGCACATAAGTAAGATTTCAAAGGACATCCACATCATTATCAATATCATCCACATCATTGTAAGATTTCTTATGCACCTACATTTGAACTAACCATACACAGGCTCTGTTTCACATACCTATATTTGAACTAACCATACACAAGGCCTGTTTCACATTCACCTGTACTATTAAATCGTACCATTATATTTAATAACGATAAAAGATCAAATTGTACCATTAAAACTAATAACGATAAAGATGAAATTGTACCATTACAAACCATAAAAATGAAATTGTACTATTACAAACCATAAAARTAAAATTGTACTATTACAAACCATAAAAATTAAGTAGAAGCATTCCAATCATTAAACATACTYTGAGCCAAATTATTTCTAAATTCAGTCCACTCGGTAGAAGCACCTACGGAAGTGATATTATCTTGGTTTTCATTGTCTTCGGTTTCATTCGAGCAAGGTATGTTTTCAAACGGATCAATTGGCATTTCTTGTCTTATAAAATTATGAAGAAGACAACATGCCATTATGACCTTAACTTTGAGTTCAACAGGGTAGTATGAATTATCTTTTAAAATTCCCCACCTTGCTTTCAAAATACCGAAGCATCGTTCTATAACATTTCTTGCAGAAGAATGTCTCATGTTGAAAAATTCTTTTGGCGTAGTTGGTTGGTGTCCATCACGCCACTCATTTAAATGATACCTTTGACCTCTATAAGGGGCAAGAAAACCCTCTCCATTTGTATACCCACCATCTACCAAGTAATAATACGGCTTTGGCACCTTCAACCCATTAGGCCTAAGAATAGCATCTCGAAGGACTCTACTATCAGCGGCTGACCCTGTAACACCCTAAAATCATCAAGAGGGATATCACGTAATCTGAAACATTTCCTTAATAAATACACCAAAGTAATGGCTAATTTAAAACCATTTAAACTATTACAGCGGAAGTCTTTAAATCGTCAAAATCTAACTTAAGTTCTAACCCACCTTTTCTTGGGGTTAGGTTACAAAAGATCATTACAGCGCATCTTAGACAAAAGACTAAAATGAGATGATAATAAGCAACACTCTAAGCATGTCCTTTGCCTTTATCCGTCCTCGAACTACCTGGGCCTGAGATGCATACTATAATTAGCTTATAAAGCTCAGTGAGTTCATGGTTTTCGTGTATAAAAACATTGTACGTCATGCATTTCAACTTGTAAACCTTGTACCAAATAGTATGCAATTTCTGAAAACATGCAACACTGAAAGAAATGAGATCTCATAAATTATCTGTCTGGAATGGGTCATTTAATCACAAACACGCCCTGGGTTGATACTTCATTCTCGATTGATCACCCACTTGTCGGGGTAGTGTTTTATACTGGTCATGACTTATCAGTCACCAACACGCCCTGGGTATCACAATCTTAACTTATCACCCACTTGTCCGGGTAGTGTTT